ATTAACACTGCAGCAGCAGCAGAGGTATTTATTGAACACTAGGCGCCAGGCGCTGGGCCAACGATTTACACAGCATCTCATTTTTGCTCCTGGCAACGACCCTATAAAGCAGGTTCAATTATCGTCTTAGTTTTGCAGACGAGGCAGCCGAGGTTCGTAAAGATTCAAACCCAGCTCTGCCTGCCTCAAAAACATTTGCTCTCAGGCACTGGACTGAGAGAATAAAACAGGAGGGGGGCCAGATGCACAGTAGCCTAAGCACTACAACTATGTGGGGGTCGGACGGATATATCCCTCCAGGTCATCAGGCCAGGGCAGGCACTTAATGAATGCTTATCCGCAAAGTGTATCGTAATCACGCGAGGACCCCAGGCGACACCCTCTTCCCCGTACCTCCCACAGATCCACAAGGCTCCACGGGCTCCAGGACAGCTCTTAGCCGCCCAGGCCAACCCGGGTCCAGGCAAATCCGTTCGGGTCAAGCTGGGCGATGCGGTGGGGTTGGGTGGGGAGGGGGCTACCCCAGACAGGGAGCCCACCGCCGCCGAACATTCGTCCTGGAAGGACAGGGGGAGCAATTTCAGCACGGGGAACGAAGCAGCCTGCGGCCCTGCTCCACAGCGGGCTTGACCGCGGGTTCGTGCATTTTCCTAGGGTCGCAGCCCCCTTCCCAGTGGGCTCAGCCGCGCGGCCGCGCCCCCCACCGGGCTTCCAAGCACTCTCGTCCGCGCTACTAGAAACCTCGCAGAGACTGAAACTGGGAAAAGGCGGGCAAATTTGCTTTTGATAAATTATGAATGGGGAGAAAGTGTTTGTAGAACTCATTGTTAAAACCACGGAGCCGGAGACTCCGCCCGCGCCCGGCCAATCGGGGCCCGGAGGCTATTTTGAAATCGCTCCGGTCTCAGCCAATAGGCGTGCGGGAGGCGAAGCCCCGCGCCGGCGCCGGCCAATGAGCGCGCCGTTATGCTAAGGAGCGGCGGACCGGGCCTCGCCGACTGTCAGCAGGTCAAAGATGGAGCCGGCGGGCGAGAGGACACCACGAGGTGCGGAGTCGTCCGGCTGGGGACGACGGGGGCACACGACCACCAGGACCTCTCTTCTACTAACCTTCTGCGTCCTGCCCCAGCCCTGGGCGAAAGGGGTGTCGCACTGCGTGAGTAGCAGGGTCCGAGGCGGGGGCGCGAGTAGAGCGGCCCTACTCGGCGGGACTGTGTGGAGGGGTGCAGCCCGGACCCGTGGGCCCTCTCCGGGCAGGGGACTCTGGAAAGGGGGCAAGTTTTTCCGTTCCACTGCTCCAATTTGGGCAGTCGGGCAGAGAATCTGTCAGGACAGAACTCAGAGGCCAACTTGGGTGTCAGGATGAAGGTGATGGGGCCCTGAGCCGGCAGAGGCGCGTCGTCCCGCAATGGGGCCACCCTTCTTGTCCCGGAGCTGCGAGCCGGCTGAGGGCGCAGGGTCGTTGGGCTGTACCCACCCCTGCTCCGGGCGCGAGTGGGCTTCGGCCTGCGGTGGAGCGGGCCCCTCTCCTTTGTGTGTATGCCCCCTCCCCCAATCAGCTCCCACTCTGGAGTTGGAGCTACTCCTCAGTCTGGGGTCTCTCCACCACAATCTGGAGCTGCTCGGGGAAAGTTCAGGTGCCCTGGGGTCCTGAGGACCCTGAGGACGGCAGCCCCGCTGAAATCCCCGTCCCTACCCTGACGTCCAGGACAGGGCCCTGAGCCCCACCCACCCACGGTTGAGCTTCCCGCCCTGCGTGTATTGGGGGCTGTGGAGGTCCCCCCTGCTGGCTGCAGGTGCTCTGACGATGTTGCACTACTGTGCTCTGAGAAGCAGTGCAATGATATTGTCAAAGCATCTGGGACCAGCCTTGGGGACCTCCCTCCCCCATACTCCCCCTACCCCTCCCCAGGCCTGGTCTCTTGGGCTTGCAGGCCCTCCCCTCCCCCCTGCCCAGCTCACTCCCTTCTCCATGGAAACTTGAGATCCTAGCCAGGCCTGGGCCTCTGGGGTCAGAGGGCACCCTTCCCCCAAGCAGAGGCCCCGCCCTACTGGGCCTGCGTTCCAGGTCTCAGATCCCCCACCCACCTCCGGAGGAGAAGCACTGGCAGGCCTGCCTGACACTCTTTCCCTGTTGCACTACTGTGGGCTGCTGGGAAGCAGTGCAATGATGAAAGGGCATCAGTCAGGCCCAGCCCCACCACAGCACTCAGGAGGAGGGAGTTTTGCAGCCTCACTCCACTTCCAGCAGTTAGGCGCAGGGGCGGAGCTGGGGTGGACCCTCCATCAGAGGATCAGGTGAGTGCAGAGCTGAGGGATCACCCCACAAGCGCTCCATCTGGGTCATGGTTGGACAGGTGCAGGGACAGAGGCCACAGATTTAGAAAAGCTCTGGTTTGAAGAGGATCTTTCCACAGCAGCTCCCCAGCTAAGACTGGGGGCTCTCCAGATTTGGTCAGGGCCTTGTTGCAAAATAGAGGCCCACTGCTTTGCATGGAGGGTCTGCCAGGGCCTGACTCAGACCCAGCTCAACCTTGACCATGTGGAGGTGAACTGGACCCAGCCCGCCTTCAAGGCTTGGGGAAGACCAGGCTCTGGAGGGAATGTTCTCCTGGGTTCTCAGCAGGAGCAGTACTATCTGGGGTGGGGGGTCGACTTGGGATACGAAGCCTGCAGGCGATGCCCACCAACCACGCCAGCTTGTTCTCTTACAGGGAGATCTGCTGCCCTGAGCCTGCAGGAGAACCTGTGAGGTGCCTGACCTGCCCACCCTCACAGCTGGAGTTGGGAAGATTGGAGCTGAACTGCCAAGGAGCCTGCCCCAGGCTTGCTTGCAGGGCCACCTCCACCATCGAGACCTGACACAATGCGAAAAGTTTTTATGCGCCCAGTGACAGTCATTCAAGCCTGTCTCCTTAAGAGGAGGCCCAGGTCTCCAGATGGGCATTTGGGATTACCCCTCACCCCTGGCTGAGCACATCAAGACACCAGCTTCACCTCTACCTGGGTGGTGGAAGTCTTGGCATCCAAGGGGAGGAAGAGGGATAATGACACATGCTCCTTTCTGTCCTGGGCTTGACCCCTTGGGGTTCCTCCATCCCAAGGCCACTTGACTCAGGCCTGTCCTCCCTTCCCCTGGGCTCCAGGTGCCATGGCTGGAGGTGGCCACCCCTACTCCTGTGCAGATTCTGTACCCACTGGCTGGACATCCCCTTGCAGCTGTCTCCTGCCCTTGCTGGCAGAGGCCTGTTAACTCAGGGCCCTGCTCAAATGTTCCCTCCTAGGGGAAGCCTTTCCTGGGCTCCACATCATTCAATGTTCCTCCAGCAAAGCCTGTTAGATTGAAATTTTCTCCTGTGGCTGAAGACGTCATTAGACTGGGAGCTTCTGAGTGCAGGGACTATGTCATTTTTTCTTTCTCTTGGCAGTATCTGACACAGAGGAGGGGCCCAAAACACTTTTTTTTTTTGCTGAGGAAGATTGACCCTGAGCTAACATCTGTGCCCACCTTCCTCTACTTTATATGGGACGCCGCCATAGCATGGCTTGATATGTGATGCGTCTGCACCTGGGATCCGAACCTTCGAACCCTGGGCTGCCGAAGCGGAGCACGCGAACTTAACAGCTACACCACTGGGCCAGCCCCACCAAAACACTTTTTAAAAATACAAATAAACATACAAAGTGTGAAGTATTATTAGCATACCACGATAGGGGAGAGTTTAATCAAGAGTCTGCTTGACCCCTCAGAGGATGCTTGTCCTGCTTATAAAAAGGAACATACTAAATATGTTAAAGTCAAGTCTCATTTCGTAAGTCCCACAGGGTCAGGAAGCGGAATGGAGATTTGAACCCAGGTGTATCTAAGTCTACCTGCACCCCTAGACAAACACAAAGGCCAGGCCTTCTTTCTCCTTGGTTGTCCCCACCGTGCCCTCTGACCTCAAAGCAGGAAAAAGTGAGTGCCACCTCCTCTGTTGGGGAGAGCTGAGGCTAGCCGGCTGGTGGTTTGGCGGAGGGAAGTGAAAAATCTCCTTAGACTTCTCAGGAACACTCCATGTATCTCAGGGCTGATGGGGGGTGGAGGGGACAGGAGCGAGCAGTCCAGGGTGCACCTCCTTCATTAGTGGCAGAGTGGGTGGTGGTGTCAGTGCTGACCAAGTAGGAGAGGGTGAAGAGAAGCAGGTTTTGGGGTTGGAGGGAAGGTTTTGGGGTGTGCCAATCTGGATGTGTTCAGCATGAACGTCCCAGAAACGTCCCTTTAGAACACTCAGATGTGGGTCTGGAGCTCAAGTGAGGTCTGAGCCTGAGACTCAGGTTAGGGTTAGTTAAGTCAGCTCTGGGTTGGGACCAAGAAGTAGGGAAGATGGATCAAGATGGTAGGGTGAAGACAGGACCTTTTGAAACGCATCAGGAGCCGCTGGAGACGCCAGTGAAGAGGCCACAGCGAGTATGGAGCAAAGAAGTGGTTATGAAGGGGAGGAGAGAGGGTAGAGGCTGGAGGGGGCCGGGGGGTTGATGCTGGGAAGTGAGTCGGGAGAGGAAGAGGGTCAAGAGTCCAGGGATAGAGGAGCTAGGGGCAGAGTGAAGTCCTTGGGGTGCTGTCCACACACCGTGAAGAGGGAAGAGTCCAGGGATAGAGGAGCT